AGATATCTTTAAGTGTAGAATATGGATAAAATGGAATTTTAGAGCCAGTTTCCTGAAGTAATAAATGAGTTATTACTAAAGCTGTGATATTAAATGATAAAATGAAAGGAAAAAATACACTCTTCCAAACCATGCCCCCAGTGGGCCACCTCCAACCAGGCCCCACCTCCGAATGGAATGCTCAGCTCCTGAACTCATCAGTGGGGTGAATCCATTGCTGAATGCTGCCCAACCACCCCTGCAGCACTGCTCACAAAGACACCTGCAAGCTGCAGCAATCACGGAGACTGGTGATGTTACTGGGATTCACAACTCCACTCCTAAATGTACCCTTACGCCTTCCTGGACAGCTGTACTGGCCTGCACGCCCATTCCCTGCGCTGTGGTTTTCAGGCAAAGCCCCCGCCTCGGGGTCACTCTCCGTCTGCGAGACGACCCCTCAGTGTCTCCATGGCCTTTGCGTGGGTCTCATTTACCTTTCACATAACACTTGGCAACTTGTCAGAAATACAAATTCTCAGATCCCATCCACACTTACTGAATCAGAAATTTGGAGTGGAGGCCCAGAAGTCTGAGTTTTAGCAAATGCTCCAAGTGATTCTAATACAGCTGAAACTACAAAGCCCACAACACAAAGGAAGCTAATTCATCATTTGCTTTGTTCAAACCTATAATTAATACCAGAATGTTGCTTAAAGTCATTATGCAGGTTCGAATAGGTTTTCATAAGTAAAGGTAGTGGTAATTACACTAATGCACAGTGCCTAAAATAGTTCATACCTACTTTACAGTAAAGTAAGATGGTATAAAAATCTGAGACAGCCTGTACACCCCACAGTGGTACCCGTGCATCTCTAACTGGATCTTTGTCCAGCTTTGAATTTAGGGGAATTTGGTTGTTTGGGCATCATGTTTGACTTGTTGATATTCTTAAACTAGTCATGGCCAAAACACCTAATAAGCAAAAATCTAATTTTTGGACTTTTTTTATCTTTGCTTGCTATAAATAAAATCTGCACAAGTTTCACAATGTGCACCAAGACTTGCTTTCATTGTAATTTGTGAAGTGGTGAAGAGATGGTTAACCTGTACCTGCCTCTCCTGATGGCTACAATTATTTGCTAAAAAGAATCTCAGTCACACATAACCCATCCATCTACACTAGTTCACATTAAGTAGATTCAAGAGAGAATGGGAGAAGAGAAATTGGATATACTGAGTATAGACAGTTCTATCATGAAATGTTACAAGAAAACACCAGAGATGCAGGGCTATAGCTAGAACAGAAAGAGTATTATTGTATACTTTCCAAATAGTGAGTAAAGTAATCCACTTTTAAACACTGTTTCAGTACATTGGAAGTATTACTCAAAAAAAGAGATTCTTAGATTATTCAAAACTACATGAAGTTGTTTTAAATTAATTCACATTCTTAATGTCTTCTTCTCGACATCTGAATGTGGAGATATGCTTTATTTATCATTGCAAAGAATGTTAAGTTTTAAAACTTTCTAGAGTTTTAGCCACTGGAAAACAAGGCAGAGTCATGACCTTTCCTTTCAGCATCTGTTACTCTGTTGCACTTTTTTTGGAATGCGATTGCCCCTCCAACCAGCACAAACAAACTTTCAACAGGTTTTGTGCTTTGGAGTATTCTGTTTCCATAACTTCAGGTCATGGGAAGGTTGTACAGGAGAGGGCCATTTTTTTGTTAATGAATCTCTTTTTCCAAAGGCTTAATCCTGATCCACTAGAATGGTTCATTTTCTTCTGTAATAAATATACCCCAAGGTTATTTTCCCTGGCGAATTAGCTGGGCAGAAATGAATCCTGAGGTTTCATGGCCTGACTTCAAAAATTTTCTTTTACAATTCCCTCCCTGGCAGAATTCTCACATTGAAGACTGACTCACACAGACTGCCCAATTAAGCATTCTAATTAAAAGACTGAGGCTCAGGTGACACTAGGTCTAAGGAACTAATAAAGGGAAATTGAGTCCTAAATATGTATTCTGGAGAAAAGGCTCGTAATCAAAATAAATTAAGCCTACTTAGACAAGTCACATACTAAACACATCTAACCCACTATCCAGATGTTTCTATGAAAACATCTCCAAATTGGTTCCTTTTGGGGAGCATAATTTTGAAGCACTAATGAAAACAAACCTGTGCTTTTCATCAGATTGCTCTTTTATTAAACAAAGAACTTATTATTCTGCATTTGTCTTTTTCTCATACATTAAAGTCTCATTTTAATAAAAATATTTTAATTTCGAGTCATCTCTAAGAAAGTCAAGAATTTTGTTGATTTTTAAAATCTAATCTTCAAAGGCAATCATTAGTAGGGAAGAAGAATATTTACTACCAACTTACATTTACCTAACTTTGGCTTCTTAAAGGGCCTTAACGTCCATTCTTTTATCTGACTGTCACAAGAATCCTGTGAAAAAGGGAAACGCATGTTCAGTCCTTGCCATTTGTAGATGAAATGCTGCGGTTTGGGAATTTTGCTCAAGGTCCCACAGCTATAAATGCCAAAGTATAACCTATAATCCAATTATGGGTCTCCAAACTCCAAACAGAATAGTCTTTCCATGACACTACTTAAGGTCTTATTCAAGTATCTAGCAGCAGATTTCCCTAGTACTGTCCCTCTTCTGGAGCGTTCACAAAATAATCCTTTGTCAGTTTACTTAGTGACTGAATTCCAAACTGGCCGTACTGGATGAGCCACCAAAAGACCACTTAAAAAAAAAAAGAAAAAAAAATGCCATACAATATTCAATAAGTTCATTATTCAGACATAGTAGTCTAAAGGCTTAGAAACAACTAACGGAAATATTTCTAGCCAATTCTGTATTCATATCATATGTTAAGCAATTTTAAAAATCTCTATAATGCATCAACAGAAGGAAAAAGCAACAGTCGAATAGAGTAATAACAATTGGTATTACAGAAAAGAACTCAGAAAGCTTTCTCTTCAAGGTAATAGACTAAATACGTACATTCGCTTCTTGCTCCTTCCCAAACCCAATTTGAAAATATGAAAAAGATCTTTTTAAAGAAAAAAATTGGTACCAGAAACAATGAAATGTATAATCATAGACCAAAAATTTTTAAGCAAATAGAAAGCACATGAGATCAGACCAGTGGAAAATCCAAACCAACAAAAACTGTAATGCACAACAGGTATAAGAAAACTGTCTTCTATGAAATGCTCCTCTCCAAGGAGGTGCTGCCAGTTTTAGATTCACAGACGGAACACAGTGAGAAGAGGTCATGGATCATAAATTAAGTACTTATGGACCACCTGAGATGACTACTTCACTTTTCTCTGTCTTTAGATTATCTTTTGGCTGTGCTATTTACATATGAAGAGCTAACTGGGCAGCACTCCTAAAATAAGCTGAAAAACAAGTAGAGCCTAAAATAACTCCAAACACCCACAATGAACACACACACACAAGCACAGTCATAGTTCACGATCAGCAGTTGACAATTATTAGAACAAATAAAGAGAATTTCCTAAAGGAGAAAAATTGTTAAAATTACAGCACTACTATAATCAATAGTAATCCATTAAATGCAATATCATATTTATAACAATTTAAAGTTTTTACTCATATACATGTTTAAAGATAAGCAAAGAGTATTTCTTAAAAACCTATGGTAGAAATATGAATAAATATTAAAATACATTATTCCTTTGTAGGAGGGTTCCATTGGTAAAGGAACCAATTTGATACCTAGAAATGCAAAACAAAGATTTCTTATCATCTTGTTTTGAAGTCCTGTATCACTTTCTTTACTTTGTTTTGATTCGTTGTACTCTGACATGTTTTGTTTGATTATTATATCTGATGGTATGGGAAGCTATTGTGAAGATAACAAGGGGCATTATAGTAGCCATCATTGATATCCTATTATCTTGAAGTTCTGTACCACTTTGTCTTATTTTGATTGGCTTTTCTATATTGTATTTTACTTAGTTTTATTCTCTTTAAAATTAAAAAAAATTAAAAATTAATATAGAAACAATTCTTACAAACAATTCTTACAAAAACCCAAACTAATTTCAATGGAACTTTAAAAATTAATTCTAAAATTAACTTTGGAACCAAAATAAGAGCTTAAAAATTTAAAAAGAATAATATGCAAATACCAAAATAAACTATAAAACAATCATGGTAACTTAAATACATAGACAAATACATAGAAGTTGATACAGGCATAGATATAGATATACACAAGTGTGTGCGCGTGCAAGTACGCTCATGTACACACAAAGTTCAATGTCAAGAATGTTGAAGGAAATACGTGAAATGAGGAAACAACAAAGTCCCCTCCAGCCCTTGCTCCCCAGGGCATTAGGATCAATCTGATCTAGATTTATCCCTAGAAGCTGGAGGTTGATAAGCTCATGAAATTCAAGAATACTTTAAGTACACTGCAGAGTATCCATAAAGGCTAAATTCCTGTAGTCATCCATAATATTATGTGTCAATCTAATGAAGTATTTATGGGTGAGAATTCAGTTTTGTTTTGTTTTGGAGGGTTTTTTTGTTTGTTTGCTTTGTTTTGTTTTGTTTTTGGTGCTGGGTATAGAACTTATGACCTCAGACTTTACTAAGCAAGTGCTTGAACTGCTGAGCTAAATCCCTGGCAATTTAGTTATTCTTAAGATGGGTCCCCATTTGCTTTTTTCTTCAGGTACACTTAAATTTTGATCTACTATCAAGACGTGAGAAATACTTGTACTAAGAAATTTTGGAATAGGGTTTCTCACTCAGACACTATTGAAATTTGGAAGTATCTAATTCATAGTTGTTTAGAGGATTATCTTATGTCCTGTAGGGTGTTTAGGAGAATCCTAGTCTCACTTTTATCAATAAATCAGATTATCACTTGCCCTTGGTCAAAATCTTCCAATAATTTCCTATCAGCCTACAGCAAATCCAAACTTCACTGTGCTGTGGCTGCCAAAAGAATGCACCATGCAAATCTCCAACCTGTAATTCAAGTAGAACCACCCTTCCCCCTTCACAGTTGTGACAGCTAAAATGTCCTCAAACATTGCCAGATGTACTGTGGGGGAAACGCTGACTCCAGTTAAGAACCATTGCTATGAACAATGGAACACACAACAGTATATACAGCCTCTTTTCAGTACTGTCAACCCCCATCTGAGATGCCCTTCTGTGTTGCCTGGCATATGCACACTGCACCATAATTACTCTCCCATTCTCCTGAAATCTAGGACTGTAGACACTTATTTCACCACTTCTTTTTTCTCCAACCTCTTCCTTTCAACCAATGTTTTACTTCCTATTGTAGTGTGGACATAGAATCAACTTGAAAATATCTTCCTCTTCTTCCTATCACAATCCATCACTATTTATGTGTCTGTATCTCTATGTTCAAACTTTCCACCCATGCTATGAAGAAGCTCATCCTGCTCATAGATAAGTCCTGCCCATGTACTCATGCTGTGAGATCCTTGTCTAGAAGCCTGCTGAAACACCAGCTCCTACAATTACAGCCTTTCTCATGCATATTCTTATCCATATTCTCTGCTATGAATCATTCCCATAAAAACACTAACACACTGTGATACCACAATATTCTTTGATCCTTCTATTTGCAGTTTCCTTCAAAGATCTCTCTCGACTCTCTATACCTGCTCAACATCGTTCTTCATACAGTTGCCTTTTTCCCTACCATTGTGACTAATCCATTCTTGTGAAGGTCATCAGGACCTTCATCTAACCAAAGGTGAGTTTAGCGTTCTTACAAGTTTCTAAGCAACACGACATGGATGATCTCTTCCTTTTAGAAACACTTTTTTTTCCCATTTTTCTGGGCATTTCAACCTACGGTTCTTCCATATTAATAGCTATCCCTTCGATGTTTCCTGGCCTACCTCATCCTCTTCTTTACCTCCAAGAGTTACTATCCACAGCTCTATCCTCAGTCTCTTCCATTCTTTCCACTAATTAGTTCCCTTTGATGACTTTATACAATTTCATAACTTTAAGTGACATAGATGAACCCAAAAATTATATTTGTAGACTGGACAGTTCCTTCACTACTTACTCATATGTCCAATTGCTAACCTGATACTTCTACTCAGAAATCTGCTGGGCATTTCTAACGTAACATACATAAAACTGAACGTAACTCATCTCTTCCTTAATGTGTTTTATTTCAATGAGTGCACACAACATCCCACAGTTGCTCATTCTTGAGACTCAGAAGTCATCCTTAATTCAAATCCTCATGTGCTCATAGATGGAGCTTTTGAAAAGTTATAGAATGATGGAGACATTATAGCTAACTGTGATGTTAGAAGATGAGGCCTGGTGAGAAGTCAATTCACTAGGTGTACACCTGGAAAAGTGTAACTCTCTCCCCAAATCCCTTCTTGGCTCTCTGGTTCTGCCTGCCAGGATATGGGCAGCTTGTCCTCAGCCATATTGCCCTGAATTGGAGCCAGCAGTGTTAAGGTTTGTGTCTAGGTGGCTCCCCCAATCCTCATGTAGTCATGGAAGTGGCTGAATCCAGCATTTGTGATTGGTTTGTTGTCTAGCACTGGGATTGGTGGTGTGAGTGCTGCACATATCCAAGAGTGGAGCCCACATACAATGTAAGGATGGGAAGAAGACATGTCTTTTTGCTCGTTCACTCTTGCTGTGGTGGTCATGAATGGTGGCCCCTCAGTTGTGCCACCCTGCTTTGGAGCCAGCTGAGTATGGACTAAAATCTTCAAACTGTAAGATAAATAAACCTTTGCTTCCTTCATTTTGAGTATCAGGTATTTTGTCTTAGCAAGGAGAGAAAAGTAACTAAGACAGTGAATATGGACTAAAAACATGAATCAAAATAAATCTCTACTCTTTCCTTAAGTTTCAGGTGTTGCATATGGTGTTTTAGCAAGAGAAAGTAACTAAGACAACTATAACATTCAATCCATTCTCAGTTTCTCAGTTATATCCCCAAATTCTTCCAAAATCTCACTGAATCTCCTAAGTTCTATTTCTACTACTCTAATCAAAATCTTTATTTTTCAATAATACTCTGCAATATCCTTCCATATCTTCAAAATCTATTTTTGAGAGTCATTTTAAAGTAACCAGGTCACCTTCTCCCTTATTTGAAACCCACCAGTTACTGCCTGTCAATTTACAATAACTCCCAAATTCTTGACCATATTATGGCTACCCTAAGTGCATCACTCAGATCTCTAACCAGCGGAACATAACTAACCAAATCCCTTTGTTGCTACACTGTGAATTCATCGCTGTTTGCAATGAGATCACCTTTCCCATCAGATGCTCCAAGCTAATGACTGACCCTAAATCCAACATACATCTGGGGAACACGTGACGCCTTTGGCAGCCATCTTGAACTCACTGGTGACTTTGCTGAATCTTCTTTGTACTGCATAGCCGTCTAGGATCCTTCCACCCACTCCTCTTCCCTCTCACCCTCTGCTTGGATTAGACTTGCCTCACAGTCTCATGCCTTTCCCAGCCTTCACTGGATCCTCCCATTTTCTCTCACCCAAATATTCACCTAATAAAGCTCTCCATATATAACCCCATCTTTATTCTTGGTTATTGGAGAGCTAAGGCTAACTAATATATATCTGTAAGGCTTTGTATGACGCAATTCATGACTGCTTGGTCCATCTCTTTTTTTCTTCTATCTTTCTTGTAAACACTTCTCTGTTGGCCCTGGCCTTTGAGCATCATACCCTGTATTGTCCAGACACTTGCCAACTCTTCTTCTGGAAAGATCTGCTTGGAACCTTTGAATAGTTCATACCCTATCTCATTCAAGTTGCTTCTCAAATGCCACAACTACACAGAGACATACCTAAACTACTCTTAAACTAGTTTAAGAGTAGGGAGAGTAGTCCTCTCCCATCACAATCTTTATCTACTCTTATTTATATTTTTTACATCATTTACCACCAAATTATTTTATAAATATATAGTCTGGTATATAGATATGTAAATTACATAAATATATTTTTTTCCAGTGGTCAGTTGTCTTCCCCACTAGAATACAAGCTCCATGAAGGCAAACCTATTGTTGATGATTTATCTACTGCCTAATATACAGTAGAATGTCAAGAAAATAATGTTAAATTTGTAAAAATTTTTATTTTAATGATAGATCCATGCAATAGAAGTATTATACACATTAATTTTATATACCTCAGTAATATATATTTGCCACCCTCCTAAGTACATATATTGCAAATTAGGATACTGTCTTACTCCAGATGTAGTAACACTGTGATAATGTTCTATTTTAAAATTCTGCTCCTACAGCTTATTTGCAGATAATCTCTGAAACATGAGGAGTTCTCACAGCTTATATCTGTCAGCAAAGTGTCTAGGGGCCCAACATCTGAAGAATGATAAATTTTCACCTATCTGATATCAAGAAATTCCATTTCTAAATTTGAACAAGTTGAGGATTTTGGAAAGGGAAAATATCACAATATTTTGGTCCCCCACAATATTGGGCCCACAATATTTTGGACCCTTTAAGAGAAATGCCAGTCACCAAAAAAATTTGTCATTTGTTATTGATCACCTACAACACTGTTTTTAGAATAGCTCTAAGGTATGTAAAAGACTTTAGGAAGGCAAGTGGTCCTCAAATATAAAATTTCCCCTTTGAGAAAAAAATTGGATCTCACCATAATGATTCAGTATAATTGAATTTCCAGAGAAATTCTAGTTTCTCTTCAGATTTTTTATTAAAGAATTGCAAAACTTTATTTCTTTAAAATTTCCAGTATCACAAGCTTAAAATCTAGAAAAGTCCCTTTCCCACCCAAAGACTGAATAAAATAACAACTTTTCCAGTTTAATAGTCACACTAACATTGGTCAAAAATCATTCCTACAAGCATTTGTCCTACACCTAAGAAGCAGTGAAATCTTTAGGCAGCTGGATCACTATGATGGTGAGGTCACTTCATGTTCCAGAGACCATGCAGCTTATGATACAGATTCCGGAGAAACTCTCATAAGGAAATGAGATTTGTCTAAACCTGCCCTACTTTCTTACAGGAATACTAGGCAAATTTTTAAATGTTGGCTTTAAATACATTTTTAAAAATTAAATGGACTAAATACAAACTATCCAGAAAAAAAATCTAACACAAACTTTAAAAATATCTCATTCTAGATTGAGCAGCATGATGGCTACATATACCCATCCTTTTAGCTGTTAAAATTTGTGAGACCAGAGACTATTGTTTTCCATGACAGACTCCAAGTAAAAGGAAGATGATAATCAAAGAAACATTTAAGCAATCTAGAAAACTGAGAATGAATATGCTTTAACATCCTGAATGATAGGTATAAGTGATCTGACTGGTAAAAACTGGGAAGTGCCCACTAGTGAGTCACAGTTTATGGTCAAAGGATGAGAGTGAGCTTCTGAAAAGAAATTGAGCCAGTATGGTGGTCAGAGCTCATAGCATGAGTAAAGTCTGGACTAGAGGGCAAGATAAGTGAGATAGGATAGTATTTGCATGAAAGTTTTCAAATGTGTTTGCCTGGCTAATCTCAGAGAGTATGTATGTAGGCTCGACCTAGAGCATTGCCAATAACAAATAATAAAGACAACAGAATTCCTGAAATAGATAGTGATGGAAAGAAATGACAATTAGAATCTCCTGTAATGAAGTTCAAGGGAGAAAAAAATGAGTATCCTTTCAGGATTCTGGGATGGACATGTAGATGCAATTTGTAATAATCTCCATGTTTAGATTCCCTCAAAATTCACATACTCAATTACTGGCCTCCAGATAGCAGTACTAGGAAGTTGGGCCTTCTGAGAGATGGTTGTATCAAGAGGACTGTTGAGGGGCTGGGGATTTAGCTCAGCAGCATAAGCATCTGCCTTGCAAGCAGGCGCTCATGAGTTTGATCCTTGGTACCAATAAAAATGAAAAATACCAAAGAAAAAAAAGAGGACTGTTGGGATTAGTGCTCTTTTCAAGAGCACAATGGAGCTTGCTTGCTCCTCCTACCATCTGAGAACATGTAAAGAAGATAATGTTTATAATCCAGACCATGAATATTCTATCCCTTGATCTTGGACTTCCAGGTCTTTAGAAGTAGAAGAAAAATTCTGTCATTTATAAGCCACCAGGTCATGGACTTCTGTTACACGGACCAAAACACTATTTCTGAAATTGTAGAACTTGCTCCAAATAAAGATAGGATGGGAATGAGGTCTTTTGTAAAAACATTTAATTTAATTCCTATATAATGGCAATATAAAGAAACTAAATGTTTTGGAAAAACACTATTGCAGGCAGCATATATCCAAAGAATAAAGTAGGAAAGGGTGCAAACTAAGTTTAACTTTTAAAAAATATCTACAACTTAGTATCCTCAAGTCACGATTTTGTTAAACTTTCAGACAGAAGTCACAAACTGCAACATGAGTAAACCTCACCTGCAGTGACTAATACAAACACAGTATCACTAAAATGATGAGTAACACCCAAAACCACTTCCTCAGACTCACCCAGCTCAGCATTTCCCAATATTCTTTGACCACAGAATGCTTTAGGAATTATAAGATGTTGGTGAAACACCAACATAGAAGATATGATGCATACTTGATTAAAAGGAGACAGAAAAAAAAGTGCTTTGAGAAGAGGAAAACATAGAATACAATCACGAATAAAGTAGTAAAGTGTTCTTATAATTTAGAGAAACAGGAAATGAAATATATATGCACATGAAGCAAACCGAACACTTTTTTAAGATCATTGAAGCCCAGAGAGCAGTACTTGAGAGAGCAAATTGGAGCAGAGCTGATGGGCCAGGCAAGTGTGCACATCTACAAACACTACTGAGGCCACAGGGTGCAAATATAGACTTTGGTATGGGATGAATTGTGTCCTCCAAAATTCATATGGTGAGCAGTACCTCCGAATAGTACCACCTAGCACTAGCATCTCAGACTGTGAAGACAGGGCTTTGAAGAGGTAACTGAGGTAAAATGAGATGGGGGATGGCTACCCAATAGGAGGAACGTCCATAGAAAAGGAGATCAGGATTCAGTTACCTTCAGTACAGAGATAAGCACAGTCACAGAGGAAAGATCATGTGGGGACACAGGGAAAAATAGCCATCCCCAAGTCACCAGGAGAGATTTTCAGTGCCAGTACCTTGAGCTTGGACACTCAGCTTCCAGAACCAGGAGAAATAAGTGGCTGTTGTGTGAGCTCGCGGTCTGTGGCATTTTGTTAGGGCAGCCTAGCAAACTCACACATACATCTTCCAAATATGTTGAAAGCTGTAAATAGAGGTCGCTGAGATTTTAATCTCTTCTTCATCCTTGTGTAAAGGTTACTTCTGCATCTTTCAGCAGAGAGACAAAAGAACTCCTAGAGTGAACACCTGCTACCCATGGAAGATGGCTGAGTTGTTGGAGAGGGATCAGTGAAAATTCTGAACTCCTCATTCAAAATCTTTTACAGCACAAAATTCACCTATTGTAGCACTGTTGTCTCACACTTTTGGTTGACAATGATGAAAAAAATTAGAAGCTTTTGCTCAGAACATACCCTGCATTGAGCATTGCTTAGATGAAGTCAACAAATATACATTAAAAGCTAGAAATCTCAGACCCACAAAGAAAAAAAACCTAGAAATCTCACCTACTCTTTTTTAAAACTCAGAAATAAGATGAGGCCCTGAAAGTAGAATAATCATTACTAGATATGAGAGGGCTGTGGGGAGGAAAGAATGGGAAGATGAAAGTTGGTTGTATTTGATCACTAAATGCTATGTACACATATAGAAATATCACACTGAACTCCATTAATATGCACCATTAATATGTGTTTAGTTTTAAAAGCCTTCATATATGGTAATGAAAAAAAATTTTGAGTTTTAAAGACCTCACCTAGAATTTAGAAAGATGTTTTGCTTTAAACTTTACCTTACCATTGTGCACTCCTATATAACAATATAAATAGGATTGTTTCCCAATGAATTGCTTTTCCAAAAGTTAGAAAAGTCTTGAAAAACCTAATGAGCATGCTAATTATAGATGGCGTTCGTTTTCCTCCACAAATATAAATAGAGCAAAAAGATTTATACCCACACTAAGCAATGTTGCTGCATGTCTTTCTGCACTGTTTCTAATTACTCAGTTATTTTGCATGTGTGTATAGCAGAGGAGTTTGCCTAAAGGCTAAGCTTGACATTCCTAGAACAATATTCCCCTCAGTGGCCAGCTCCATGACGTGGTGTCACTCTTCATTCCCTTTGACCTCTCTTGAATGCTCACACATTCCTGAAACTCTTCTTCCCCTATGTTGGAGACACTGCCCTTTTCTAATTCATTCTCTGATGTCTCTTTTTGACAAGCTTCTAGTTGTTGCTTATGTTAACAAAAAAATGTTGTGTAAGGCCCCTTCCAGTCTCCTTGCCCTTTCTTTTTCACATTTTGGCTCCAAATGAAATGCATTCCACTTGTGGCTTCAGTTACTAATTACTATGCTGTTGTATTTTGAGCCAGAAGACCTTACTAGACCCAGATATGCAGCTCCATATGCCCTCCTATATCAGCCATCTCTGCTTGAATGCTTTCAAACTGTTTCAAAATCAATTCCTCTCCCATAAACCCTTTGGGATTCCCAAATGTGGCTCCCCTTTCCCACTACTCTGATGAATTCACCATCAATCTTCCTTACCCAGCCTTTTTGTTTTCATATTGTCTATCATGCCTTTCATGCTATTACAGCAGAATACAGTCAGTTTCTACAGACTCAGATGCGATGATCTTCAAAGCCAAAAATACGTACTAGAGAGCCCTTTTCCCAAATGTTTTTTGCCTCCCTAATTGGCAGACAGTCCTAACACTAAGTGACTTATTTTCAAGCAATTTGTTTACCCCTTCACGTCATTAGACTCTGGTCTTTCTAAGAGTAAGGCCAGGTCTTTTTATCACTATACATAGTACCTGGTTTATAGTATTTAATCAATAAACACTGTTGAACTATTTTGAGCATTGTCTAGGAAACTTTCAAGTTGCTATTTTTTTACTCTTCCTGATTTATTCCTGAGATCCAACCTAGTCCCCCATCAACAACACCAAATTTTTAGATAATCTGCATAAATGGTTGCGTTACTTTGTCTCTCTAGGACTGGTTCCAGGCTTGACCATTCAGTTTGCTTGGGCCAATGGAATAATGGCAATGGCAAACACGATGCCAATAGACACTTGAGTGCCTTGACTCTGGGCAATACCGTGAGATGAATGAGCCAATGCAACCTTGTGGATAATGAAAACATATGGCCCACATACCATACCCTTACTCCAGCCAAAAGCCAGATATGCAAGTGAGGCCATTGAATGCTAGTGGGCTGCAGATTTGTGAGCAAATCCAACTGATAAACGAGCACAACCACAACCAACTAAACCAGTCCCCTGCTGAGCTTTGACCAAATCACTAACCCACTAAATCATGAGCTGATTCTGTGATTCCACTGTTCTGTGAAACCAGTATATTACCAAGGTTTGAGGAGGGCTTGTTATAGAGCATAGGCTAGCAGTTATATTGATTCTTTTCATGATTTGTGCCTTAAAGTTTCCCTTCAAGCCACAAAATCATTATCCATCATCATTTCATTGCCCACCTTCATGCTCCACACTAGGAAGTCACATCAACATCTTTTCTGGCCGCTGTTTACTACGCAGTGAGTAAAACATTTCTGTCAAATGAATCTTCCCAAAACTTTTTTTTCACTATATCCTGATCAATAGTAAATAAGGAAACATGTTTAATTACCTATTTTTGTACCCGAGATACATATTTTGATCTTAAAATCATAAGAAATAAATTAGAAATAATTTATCATTAGAAATAAATGATAGAATCATTCAGACTAAGAAATTCCATAGATAATGCAAACTTACAACTTCTTATATGTAAGGAAAAGGCTTAGGAAGCCCAAGGAACTTGCCAAGATCACACATCTACATAATATCAGGAGTAAAATAGAATGCAGAGTAAAAGTCTCTTTCAACTCTAAAATTCTGTACATACTTATTGAAGACATTTTGATCAAATGGACTCATACACTGGAAGACCACATTCTCTATAGTCTAAAGGTACAGCCATAGCACTGCATTCATTTGAAGCAGAGCTTACTTATCATGTACCCAGCAAGTCTATCCTTTCTATCTCCCAATTGTGTAGTTGTCACCTCACATGTAGAGCTTATCATTTGTAAGGAGAATCAGTCATTTTTTCATTGAATACAGTAACTTCTCTTTGTAATGTTCAGTTCTAGAAGAATAGTGTCATGGTTTATGTTGGTGGCCCCTAAGCCTCATGCCTTTGCATGAGTGGTTCATTGGTGACATGCATTTGTGAGCAATGCCCCACCTCACACGATTAGAGATGATGCTTTTGGAAGGGGATTGGAACTCTAGGCTCATTAGCAAATTCATCCATTGATGAGTTCATAGTTGAATGTACTGTCAGGATGTGAGGCCTGATGGTGGAAGAGGTGGGTCACTGAGGACGTGATGTGAAAGGAAGTGTTGTTTTCAGCTCCTTTCTCTATGCTTCCTGGCTGCATAGATTGAGCAGCTTTTTTTATGCCATGGAATTTCTGGCTCAGGGCCAGTCAGCCATGGACAGAATCCTCCAAAACCGTGAGCTGGTATAAACTTCTCTTCCGTTAGGTTGCTGGTATCAGATCTTTTGTCCCAGTGATAAGAAAATGATGAATACAGAGAATTATATGGCTGCTCTTGTGACTGCTCAGCTTTGTTCTTAAAGTTCAAAAGCAGCAATAGATGATATGTTATAAAAAGTGAGAGTTGTTTTTAATGACTTTCTCTGTACAAATAGGTTGCAGACTAGGTTTAACCCATGTGTTATATGGTTTGATGATACCTAAAAGAGTAGGCCAACTATTAGGTTATCTAAGAAAAAAAAACTTCTGATGTTCTCTGTGTTTTCTCCAGGGTGATGGTGGTAATAGTGCAAGTAGCCAATGCTAGTCTCACCAAAAATGTCACATAAATAATACATGAATATAACGTCACTTCAAGACATACATACATATAGTAAGGTATTGTCATTTAGAAATCTTCAAAAAATACAGAAGTGTGTAAAGTATAAAAGAGCCTTTTACTCACATTCTTTCATTCTGTTCCTCTCTTAGAGGTTATTGATTTTTAACTGTTTAGTACTTATTATTCCAACCCTTCTTCCAGTAATTTATAAACATATACAAATCTGTATAATTGCATTTTATTTTTGTTTTATTTTATATAAATAGTATCTACTGTACCTTATATGACATAGTGTGATTTATTCTCTACTTAATACTGCATATCTTAGTAATTTTTTAAGTCAAAGATGAAATTTATATGAAATAGTATTTTGTAGTATGGATATATCATAATTTATTTACAGTCCCCATAGATACTAAGGTTATTTTCAGCTTTTTACTTTTACAAATAGGGCTGAAATGAACAGCCATGTACATTTTTTTAATGCTCCTGGAGACTGAACCCAGAGCCCTGCACATGTTATGTAGGGACTCTACCTCTAAGCTACACTTCCAGCTTCCTCTCTACAGAGTAGAAGCCAAAATAATGTACAAGCTATTTGTCTTAGTTACTTTTTACTCTATGAGTAAATACCTATGAGACAAAATGAGACAAAATACCTGAAGCCCAAAGTTGGGAAAGGGAAGGTTTATTTCTTACAGTTTTTGGAGGTTTCAGTCCACACTCAGTTGGCTCCAAGGCAGGGTGGCATGGCTGGACCGCCATTCATGGGCTGCAAACAGTAAGGAAACCGGTAAGAGAGTGAGACATGCCTTCTTCCTGCCATTACATCACATCCTGGCTTCACCCCTAGGCTGGTGTAGCACTCACTCCCCCAATCCAAGTGCTAGACAATGAACCTATTTTGGGGATTTTGATCTGTATTATAACACCTTGAAATACAAAAATACTTAATATGTGTCCCTTTACAAAAAGTTTGCAATTCCTCCTCCAGCTCACAAATTTACTAGTTGCTATGAGGGTGAGACTCATGACTAATCTCATTCCAGATATGTCATAATGAGTTTAACTTCCACACACATTATCTGTAATGGCAACATATGTCAGAGACAGGTTTTTTCCTGGTTTTCACCCAAAGACCTTTCCCTTTACTTTAATTTTTTTAAATGTTAACATAGGTTTTTAAATGTACAATGTTTTGGTTGGATTCCATTTTCTCTGTCTAGACAAGACCTCTTATCTCTTCTATTAATTGAAATGGAGCAATTAATTTTATAATATGGTCTTTCTACAAGCCACAGATACTATGCTCTGTTTTCTTTGCCTAGGACAGGAATGTAGCTGTCTGTAGATTGGAAAATTGCTTGCCGCTTAGGAGTTTACTGCTATTATGAGAACAAAATTTTGAAGATTTAAGAGTTTTAAATTACTAGATACTCCTACGAAATGAAAGGCAATAAAACTCCCATTCTTTTGCATAACACAGAATAAATCAGCGGAATTAACAAAGGAAGTTTCCTGGCAGTGTGGCAAAAGATGACAAAGAGGCTGCAATGTGTGGCATGGGAAAAGAGAATCAATGGTAACAGCACTGTAGCTGGTTAAAGATGACACAAAGGGAAATTTACTGCAATCCTGGAGACACTACAAAACAAGCAACTTTACAAAATGTTTTTTTAATAGACTATCAGCATATTTAGCAGGAAATGGAAAACCTATACTACTAGGCATCCATCGCCACCACAGGAAACCCTATGCCACCTACCTTCTGTCCTCTTATAAACTGGGGGAGTGATGTAATTCATTTCTAACGTTCCAACTCAAGAGTACCATTCACACTTGTCATCTACTGTACTAGTCAGTACTCACTACAGAAAGATTTAAAATAAGATACATAGTATATAAGGATTAACAAAATAGGCTTATAATGGCTGCTCCCAGAGTCAAGTGCGCAAGACTGCACAAGGACTGTCTCTGCACAGGAGAGTCAAAGGATCCCATCAAAAGAACCAGTCAAAGGCCTCAAGCTCACTGTATTGTCTCCTGCGAGTCCCTATCGGGAGTCTGAAATGTCTGCACTGGAAGGCTGAAGAGTCGCACAAGAAGCAGAAAACAGACTTCCAATGCAAAGGCAAAGACAGGACTTCCTTCAGAGAGACAGCAGTGAGACTTCCTGCTTCCTTTCCCTTTTTATTCCATTCAGGCTACAAACCTATTGGTTGGTGCCACTCACACCCAAAGTGGATCTTCCCATCCTCGGTGAATCCCTTCAGCCACATCCACAACTACATGAAACTAACCAGTTGCGTTTTTTTAAATTTAAATTTATACAACAGTTAACTGGTTATCAGAGCTACTTATTAAAAACCTGAGCCCACTGTGCTGCTATAACAAAACAATACTTAAGATTGGTTAATTTATAAAAGTGAGAAATTTATTTCCTGTAGTTCCAGAGTCTGGGAAGTCCAGGCTGAATGCAGATGTGGTGTGAAGTTTATCTGGATCCAAGTGGGTGACTTTATTGCTACACTTTCCAGAAGTGATGATTACTGTGTCCTCACATGACAGAGAGGAAGGAAAGCCTCAAAGAGGTTAGTTCCCTACAACTTGTATTACAAAAGTACTAATCCATTCATGAGGCTTTTACGAGTTAATCACTTTCCAAAAGACTCCATCTCTGAAAGACTCCATCACTGAACATGAATTCTTGAGGGACACATTCATTTTTGTAGCACAAAGTTAATAACCTTGGGCAAATCACCTAAGCTTTCTTAGTGTCAGCCTTCTTTTATGTAAGATGGGGGCCCTAACAGTACTTACCTTGCAGAGTTTTTGTAATAATTACAAGCGATAGTGCACTAAAAGCACTCCACACCGTGTTGGCAAGCAGTAAGTGTGGTCCATAGCCATTAAAGGTCCATAGTCATTAAAATATCATCCAAATCATATATGATTGAGACTAGAGGGATGGCTCATCATGAGGCATCATGAGGTTCATCTTCTCCAGCTGTGAAACTGTGAAACCTGATGATCACGTAGTCCCAAACACAACAGTGGATAACCCTCATTTCAACAGGCAGAAATCAAAGGGAAGGAAATGTGTTGGGTCCCAAGCAAGTCCAAAGCTTAGCAAGGAAAATTTCATTAGCCCTCAAAGCAGAGAATATCCTTCTTGGTTTGATTCACTGCCCTTCAGCTCTGCTGGGGTGACAGCTCTGTGGGTGACTGCATCCCTGAGGCAGTAGAGGTGTCTGCATGCCTGCCAAAGTCCAGAGACCATTGTACCACTTGAAACTTAGCTGACAGACATGCTTCCTGACCCTGAGGTGACAGTGGCAGCTCTGATGAATGACTTCTGGGTCACTTTGGGTATCGTTCTCTTTTCTTGAAGAATAGTACATTAGGAGCTGAAGCCCTTCCAATTTCTCCCCTTTGGAGTGGGAATATGTATCAGGAGTCTGGACTCCACTGTATTTCCTTACGCCTTCCATTCTTTCTAATACTCGTGCTTTTCTACGTGCATAGTAATGAAATAAATTTTATATGTCCCTAAAAGAATCTCTAAACTATAGGATCATTCTCACGTAAAACAGTATTTTCACATTTAATAAAATCAGTGATCACTTAACAGGATCTAACACCTAGTTCAAATCCAAACTTTTCCAGTTGTAAAAAAAAAAACAAAAAAAGAACTTTCCCAATTGGCTTATCCAAACCAGGGTAATTGCCTATATCTGTTGTTTTCCTTTAAATCTCTTTTAATCTGGAAGAAAAATGCCCTGACTGACTTGTTGATGAGACAGAGCTAGGAGTCATGCTTTCTAGATTTGCTTCTTTGTGGTGTTTATTTAACTCATTTGTCTATTCCTTTTCTTTGCTGGAAACCAGAAGTAGTAGCTAGTGACTTGATTACATCGAAGTTAAACATTTCCGGACAGATGAAATATGTCATCGCTTAATATCAGATTACCTCACCACCAGTGGAGGTAAAATTTGATGGATTTTCCAGTTGTCCAATGGGGTCATCAGAAATTTACAAAACATCAGGCATCGATTATATTTTTGATGAGACAGTTTACCATCTCCAGTACCAGGTACAACATTCTCCCAGTGAGAAAACACAGACTAACACTTTAGAATATAGTTATCCCTGACACAAAACCAGTTTGAACTCAGTATGTACATTGTATGCTAATTTTTTCCCGTATGGTATAGACTAAAAATATTTTTAAAAAATTTAAGAAAAAGATAAGTATATCATGAATTCACAAAATATACTCAGATAAGTCTATTTTACCATTTACTGTCTTAAATATACACAATTATAAAAAGTTAAAATTTATCAAAACACAAACACTTGTAGGCCACAAATGAAGCTATTTGCAATAAAGGGAAAAGCAAACAAATTTAAAGATGTGGTGTTATCTATAATTGCATGTAACTAAATGTAGCACATATTGCACTACTATAATAATTTCAAAGCCACTACCTGTTGCTATTTCGATGAGCTTAAGTGACACTCATTATCCCGTGAGCACTCTTTTTTCCAAGACATTGTGCACAGCAGGAGAAAGTGACTTCTTGTGTTTTTTACATGTTTCACCGTACATGATACACAAAAGATATCAAATATATGCTAAATAATCAAGTATATGTTCCTGGTAAGACTTTCAGTCAATAGCAGGTTATTTGTAGTTTAGTTTTGGAAAGTCAAAAGTTATACTGAGTTGAATATGGAGATGCATAGCTGTAAGCCCAGCACAGTAAGAAGCTGAGGCAAGAGGATCACAAGTTTGAGCCCAGCCTGAGAAACTTTGCAACTTAGCAAGACCCAATCTCAAAATTTAAAAAAAGGGCTGTGGATATTGCTCAGTGCACAGGTCCTGGGTTCAAAGACAGGGTGGGGTAGGAGATTGTTATAAGGCTCAGTGGGCAGTGAAGGCAGAGAATGGACCCCGGAGAATGCTGAGAAGTCCCATACAACCTGGGTACCTTCACACTCTCCCACTACAAAGAGGGGCACAGGAACCAGTCACCCAGGTGATGTTGTGTTGGTAGCATCTGCCAGCAGAGGCAAGAAGTCCTTCACAAAGATTTGGGGACAAATGCAATCATTCAAAGTGAGAAACAGATACAGTTTCATCAATAGAAATGATACCAAGGAAGATGTATTTGTATACCCAACTGCCATACACACCCACCCCAGAAATACCTTAGCGAGGAAGAAGATGGAGAAACAGAGTCTGACATTATTGAAGGAGAAAAGAATAAGGAGGTGGCAAATGTTACAGGCTCTAGTACAGAGCCAGTTCAAGCTAGTAAACACACCGCAGATGGTAAGTAACCTTTGCAAATGCTTTGTATCTCCCAATGTCCTCCACTCAGCAAGCTGTAGAATTCTGAACAGAACATAAAGTGGGGAAGAAAGGAAGGAAAGAAGGATCAGAGAACACTCTTAAGGTCAGACAAGATGACACCAGCTCCACTACTCCTACCTTGGGGCCACCTGGGCATCCACCAGTTTTTCAGCTTCTTGTGCATGAAGAAGAGGAAGAGGATGCTGACAGCCACAGTCAGAGACACAGTGTCACAAGTGTTACAGCATTATACATTCACTCTGCCGAGCCCCTCCTTACCAAGGCAGCCTGGAAAGAATGGTGGTAAAGAGAATAAGGAAAATCAAGGAGATGAAATACAAGATCAGCAGGCACCCCAACATCCACACCATAACTTCAGCAATGATGCAGACACCATAAGATGGTAAACATAGGAAAACAGCCAACCCATCAGTAGGTTGAGTGAGTGAGATTTTATTCATTCCTGAAGCAGAACAGGGCTGAGTAAATGTCAGCTTACCATATCTACCATCACGTGGCCATCCATGCACAAGGAGAAATGAATGTCAAATTCCAACAATAGGAAATGAACAAAACGTTGGAACTTAATATACTAAATGCATACTTTTTGTCCATTTACCAGCTAACTAGAATCATCTGCATTATCTATGCAGCATGGCACATTCTTTTTTGATTCCTTTTAAATTTATTTTAAAGAGAAAAAAACAATAAAAACAATGATACAGAATTTAAATGAAAGAATAATGACAATTTTTTGAGCCTGGTTTTTCTCAATAAACTTTTCAAGGCCTTTAAATTTGTTTCATATCTGGCCAACTTGAGACTTTCAAGATCTCATCTGAAATTTATAACAAAAGTCTATAACCCAAGTTTCTCAGAAAAAGCCAACAAAGTGCAAGCATCTGTTAATAAAAGTCTTAATATAATTTTTTTTTCCAAAAGTGATTTTTCTGTTGGGGCCAGCATCCCTACCCCCCAAGTTGTTCAAATGTTAACCATATTTCCTTTTGGAAGCAAACTGCCTATAGTGAGTTTTCATTTAAAATGGACCTTTATCCAGGGATGATGCTACGCATGTAATCCCACTACTCTGGGATGCTAGGGCAGGAAGATTGTGAGTTGGAGTCCAGAGCAATTTCGCGAGATTTGTATCAAAATTTTAAATGTTTAATTTAATTTAATTTTAAAAGTACTGGAGATAGAGTCAGGAATTTAGCTCAGTGACATAAAGTGCCTGCTCGGCAAGCATGAGGTTGTGAGTTCAATCCCTGGAACCAAAAAAAAAAATACGGGGATGTAATTTATTGCTCGTGCCCAGGGTTCAATCCCTAGTACCAGAAGGGAAAAAATAAAAACACCTCAACTGAGAGGATTTGTCTTTGTACCCTCAGGCCAAGGGCCTTCACTGCCAATAGTCCCAGCCACCACACCCACCATGTGGGAGCTTCAGTGTCCGTTCCAGGTCTCTTGTCTCTGGAGAATGTCTCTTTAGTTCTTGCTTTTCTCCTCACAACCAGCCTTGTGGTTCTTCCTTGTGGTTCTTCTTTCAATTCTTTAGTTTTCCTCCCCCCAAGAAATTAAAAAATGTACACTTTCCCTGCAAATGCTGTGAAGTTGAAATTTTTTATTGCATCTCAAGATTGAGGTTCTCAGGAGTCAGCAGCTGTGAAAGGGACTTGTGAATGTCAATCAGGAAACTCAAATTTAGAAGACCATTTGCCCAAAGAAAACATGAAACACTGGTTTTTAAGTGCTATCTCAAGCACTTCTTAATCTACAGCAGTTATTGCACAGGAAATCAATATGATGTGATGCCGAGAGAAGCCATGATAAATCCCTTCCCAGCAATGCTCCACTTAATGAGCTGCCTGAACCAGAATTAAGTGAGATGGAGGAAGTTTCCCCTGAAACCTAGGAAACCTGCAAATCTGCATCCAACTCACCTCCCAAGGATCTGCCTTTGGAAATCAAATTGAAAACAGTTAAATCTGTTGACAGTCTGCTCTTTACAAGTATAAATCAGGCAATAAAGAGGTAGGAGAAGTATATTAGTCTTGCTTATAAGAAGCTAACTTTGCCAAAAATACCAAAGTCATTTTCTCCAAAGTAAAACACAGAAGATGAGATAAACCTCCAACAAGAAGGCATGTTTGTGTTATTCTCACCTAGAATGAGGCAACTCCAATGTCTTTCAAAAGCAGATCTTGCTCGTGACTCAACACTTATTTATATCTGAAGATCTTCCTTAGAAGAGACCGTAAACTCATTTTATGAACTTAGAGGTCAATAGGTAGCACAAACAAGATTTCATCTTGAATCAGGAAAAAAATTTTCCTATGGTAAATATATATATATATATATATATATATATATATATATAAATGTATTATGTTAATCATTTTACATGTACCTTTCTCTCTCATTGTCATGCAACCTTCACTCACCACCATCCACCTTCAGAACTTCTTCATCATCCTAAAGCAAAACTCAAATACATAAACAAGTCCCCATTCTCCAAGCTCCTGGTAGTCACTTTCTACCTTCCGTTACTCTGAATATAACAGTTTTAAAGCCCTCACATAAATGGCATCATACTGTTCAATAAAAATGATAAGAAGCTATTTTTTGGACTAAGCTCTTGAACAAATTGGGCTAAAACTCAAAATGAAGTCACACGCACCAAAGTTCCATGTCACCAAGCTGAAATTAACTTGGTTATGTTACCTCCCAAGAAATCCCAGTAGAAAGCAAGCTGTCAAGATTCCCAAGCAGACAGTTTAACCAGCACAATAGTGAGCTACCCCCTGCCTTACACACACATAGAGATAACCTTGAAGTAAACTCATAAAAACTCATGAGCTATTTGTCTACTACTCTGTGCCTCTGTCCCACCTTTCAGGAAAGTAACTTTGAAATGGTCAAACCATTTGTTGTTGCCATTCTTTTGTTTCTGCCTTCTTCAAATGTTTTCTGTCTACAAAACCAACCTCTTCTGCAGCCCATCACAATGCTTAGTCTATTAGATGTGATGGTGCAAAGCCTGTTTATCCCAGCACTCTAGGAGACTGAGGCAGGGGGATTGCATGTTTGAGCCCAACCTGGGCAATTTAGCAACTTAGTGAGGATTCTTCTCAAAATAAAAAGTAAAAATTTCTGGAGAATTAGCTCAGTGTGAAGGCCCTGAGTGTAATACCAGGTAGCAAAAAAGAAAGGAAAGAAAGAGAGAGAGAGAGAGAGAGAGAGAGAGAGAGAGAGAGAGAGAGAGAGAGAGAGAGAGAGAAGAAAGAAAGAAAGAAAGAAAGAAAGAAAGAAAGAAAGAAAGAAAGAAAGAAAGAAAGAAAGAAAGAGAAAATAAAAAGAAAGAAAAAAAGAAAGAAACTAAGTTTCTCTTTTATGGGATAAAGTGTAGCCTGATTCTAGAATCATAAAGAAAGCCAATTAAGGTTCTAAATTGCTGTGGCTTTTTGTCCTGTGACAATATAATGTATGTCCTTTTGTGTCTTCTTTACTTTGCTTAGCGTATTGTCCTCAAAATTCATCCAGGCTGTAGGCTTTCACTCATGCGTCAAGATTTTGTTTTCTGTTAAGGCTAAACAACATGCCACTGGATGTATACAACACATTTCATTCATTCATTCATTCATTCATGAATATTTGTGGTGTTCTCATCTTCTGGTTATTAGGACTAATTCTGCGATTAACATGGGTGTACAGATATTGTCTAAGTTCCTGGTTCAATTATTTTAATATCCCAGGCAGTAAATCTCATAGATTACATAGAAGTTTTCTATTTACTATTTCAAGGATTAATTAGCCAGATGCGGTAGTGCAAACACTCTTGGACACTGAGCCAGAAGGATCACAAATTTGAGTCCATTTGGGCAATCCAGCAACTCGGCAAGCTTTTGTCTCAAACTTTCAAAAAACAAATTAAAAGGGGGTTGGAGATGTAGCTCAGTTTGAAATCCCTGGGTTTAAACCCCAGTACCACAAAAATAATAATGATAGCATTTTGAGGACTTTCATGCTGTTTTCCAACAGCCGCTGCCCTATTTTACCTTCCAGCAATATCCAAATATTCCAATTTCTCCACATTCTTGTCAACACTTGGCTATTTTCTCATTTGGGTTTTGTTTTTTGTTTATAATAACCATCCTGTGGGTGTGAAGGAAGAATTTTTAAGAAGTCATCCCACACCACAATTGGATCAGCTGTCTCAAAACACAGGGACTGGTGGGTGTGCTCTAACAAAGACTGGACAGACTGACACGTTTAGTTGTGCACTATGTAACTGTCCCTGGTTGGAGAGTACATAGGGACTGACAGCCATCAGGTTTTACATACCATGCTGTGAACTGCCTCTTCTGGGAGAAGACAGTAACCTTTTCTTCCTAGAAAATACCGTCAGTTTGCCAAGCCACTTGCCCAGAGCTTCTTCGGGGCACTTAAGTTATTCCAGCTGGTTAAGTCTCCTTCAGAGAGAAGCTGTAGGTATAATAGAGGAGAAATACCTAGTCCAACAGAGCTAGAGAATCATAAAGGCCCCTTTCAATTGTGGTGTTCTTAGGACATCCTTAATGGTTTTACAGAATGCTCCCTAAGTCTTTGACACCCATCTCTTTCTTAGATGGGGAATCTACACTCTTGCTTTGAATCTGAGGTCTGTGACTGCTCAGCTATTGGAAGATCCTTGTGCCCATTTCTGGGCCCAAATCCTAAGAAACCTGGCAACCTCCACTTCCTGTCTCTTGGGACACTCATTCTTGGATCTTAGCCAACCACACTGTGCCAAACCCAAACTACTTTTGTGGAGATGCACACACGGAGAAAAACTAAGCACGCAGAAGTGCATGCTCTACCCCTGACTATACAGCACAGAAACGCTCTGTTCCAGACAAGCCCTGCCCAAACTACAGACCTATGAGCAAAGTGACTGACTGTTATTTTAAGCCACTGTACTTGAGGGTGGATGACTTATTAGCTGAAACACAATCTGAGTGGTCTGTGATGTGATGTGACCAGGCTCCCATCTCTCCTTGCCACATTAGGCCACTGCAAGCCAGGCTTTCCCTGAAGAGTCGTCATGGTCCTTACACATTAGAGTCGCTGTTTTTCTCACCTGTTACAGACAAGGGCCTTTTTGCACACCTCTCCTCTCCCACCGACCACCCCGGATTTTGGTTAGGGTCCCAGCTATGATAAAGACGCTGAGCAGGGTCTGTACCCTCCTTATCTGATTTTCTCCAGGCGCTACAGGTTCACCTCAGACCTTTCCACAGACTCTCCTGGGCCACCTCCTTTGCCCCAGGCTAGAGGCCTGTGCTCCTGGGACCCTGGCTTGAGAAACAAGATACAAGCAACTCTCACTTGATCCAGAAACCTACTGTCCACTTGGGTCCCCTAACTTCCTGTAAACTGGAGAGGGCGCGCCCAAGCCAATCAAAGGAAAGGCAGAGGAGAAGCCACCCTTGGGCGCCGGTTGTCTCCAGCTGCTCCTCCACAGATCAGACCTGCCCGCCCTGACTGGCCAAGGGACGAGCCTCCTGTCTCCTCTGCTAACCCTCCCCCTCATTTCAGGAAGGAAACAGTTAAAAGACTCCTGCCCTTGGGGGCCTGGGAGGGGGCGGCATTTTTGTGCTCCTCCTGTCTTGCTCCCTGGAGCACTGTAGGTTAGGACGCTCTCACAGTCCTAGCAAGAAGTAGAAGGTCCGGGAGCTCGGGGAGGAGGACGTGGACAGGCGGAGGCGTGCTCCTCGCCAGTTTTCTTTCTCTTGCGACTCCTCGCGCGCGCCGGGACGTCCCTGCGGTCCGGCGATCTCGGAGAGGCGTGGGGAGGCTTCTCCATCCCACCTGGTGGTCGCCGGAGACCGAAGGCTCTGCGACGCGTCCCTGCAGAAGCTGCGCCCCGCCGGGAAGTTCTCCGGAGCCGAGCGGCCTTGCGCCCAGGGCTGCCGCCCCGCCGCCGCCGCCGCCGGGGACACCGGTCACCTCCGCGCCCCCCGCCCGCGCCGCCCCCGCCGCCTCGGGCCCAGGCGCCGCGCGGACTGGGCAGCTGTCTGCGCCCCGCCGGGCTCCAGGGCTCCACGGTCGGTGCAAGTCTGTGCTTCTGGGACTGGGCTGCGGGTGTGGGAGCCGCCGTCTGGGCCACTCGGTGGAGAAGACCCGGGCACCTTCTTGACCAGTCGCCCCCACCCTGCGCCGCCATGGGACTGGCACCCACCTGCCCGAGGGTGCCGGGTGGGGAGGGCGCGTTCCGGGGAGGGGTGCGCTGGGGAAATGTTCGCGGTTGGAGAATTGATGCAAAGCACTTCCCCTCCTGAGGCGGAATTCGGGATTTTAGTAAAAAGAAGCCCAGTAGTTCTTCCTGGGTGCCCCCCGCCCAGCGCGCGCGCCGCCCCCGACATGCAGGAACTTTGCGGAACATCTTGCCTCTTGTCGCTTGCTCCAAAGACTACTTGTGAAGCTGTCTTCCCTTCACACTGCTTCTCCCTTCACACCCTGGGTATGCCAAGGGCCGCCAGGCACTTGGCCTGGAGAACTGATGTCTTGCGGGTAGGGGGGAAGTGGGCCCTGGTGTAGCTACTTTTGGAAAATCTGGCTGTTGGAGGTCTGAGCGTTTTGTTCCTTTAAAGGGCACTTGTTGCCTTTCACGTGCAGAAAACGAGGGCTGGTTTTAGATAATCGGGCTCTGTTTACACCATCCTAATAGCTTTGCCCTGATAGAGTTGGGGTGGAGGCGCATTAAAGCCAGGCAATGTGGCTAATTTCTTACCCAGAGAACAAAACCACAGAAAACTTGTATAAAGTCTCTAGGATTTTTGTTTGTTTCTTTTATGGGTGGTGGTGATTGTTATTGTTGTTTTTTGTTTTTCCCTCTCTACTTTAGTTGCTTATGATCCCACTATCATCACCCCTTCTGGTTTAAGTGTTAGCTGATTGAGCAACACCTTGGCAGTCATGTAAATTACCTGCTCTGAACTCTTGCCATTTTGTTAAGATTGGAATTTCCAAATTACTAATCACAGGTAAACTTGGATCCTGACAGCCCCAAATGTTAAACGGTTAATGCCCAAGCATCAGGATTCTGTCTGCTCACTTAATAATAGCTGTTTTGCTCCGGCAAACTCTGGAAGCGCTAAAAGGAAGAGTGGTGAGTTCCATAGCCGTGTTCTGTCCTTCAGGTCTGAACCTGAGAAGCTTCATCTAGAGCTGTGGCTGATTATGACTCTCTGATTCAAAGCAAGTGTGACTCAGATGCATGAAAGTGAGCTACAGAGGCATCCTAGGAAAAATATGCATTTGAACAGGGTTTTCTCTTGGAGAGTCAGAATAGCTCAGTTGTGAGAACATTAGACTGAAAATGACAATATGGTGACCATGTGCCAGGTCTCTTAGCTTTGCAGCTCAGTACGTGGAAAGCTGACAAAGATTTCATCAGAAACTATTTCTATAGTAGTGCCACTGTTGGAAGATGGTCTTAACGGGAGCTAGGCGGACCATGATAAGAACCCATAACCTTGGCCTTCTTAGCTCCTGCTTAATCACCTGAGCAAGCAGCAGTGGATTTCAATGAGTGGCACAGCGCCTGTGGTAGTCAACTCGGTTTACGAAATAACCCTCTAGCTGACTCTGATGGGTGAAGAGCCATTCCTTTTCTGGAAAAGGCCTCTGTCTCTCCTTAAGAAAACTATTTCTAAATGTTCCTTTCCTATTGGAAAAGAGAGAGGCCGTAGTCACTAAATAGCATAAGATATCAAAGAATCCCCACCCCTTGTGATCAAAAAGGAGGATGACATCAATCCTTGTTCTTGGAAGTTCTGGTCTCCACCATGGAATGGAAACGCAGGTCTATTGATATTTGTTCGAATGGACCAGATAATAAACTGAGGGGTGGGAAAAAACCGTGAACTACGAATTAAGCTTTGATCTAGCTGACAAATACAGGGCATGTACCTAATTTTGAAAACCAGATTTTATTTTTTTACCTAATCAGGGCAAGTGAAGTTGTGTCACCAAATTGTGAGATATTTTAAATGTCCCTTCACTTCTTAGTTATAAAATCTTGACATAGTCACTTCTTGAAGACTCAGTTTCCCTTGGGTAAAATAGGATTATTGTGCCTGCTTACCTAAAGTTGTAAAGTTCAGGTAGGATAACAGGTACATGTATAATATGTCTCTCTGTATAAAATGTTGTATGATTTCACGTTCTTGGGGAAAATCTCAGCGGAACGCGAAAGCACGCAGTGCCATAGTTTGTGTCTGCCTCAGACCGTCTATGCTGCTTAACTGTGTCTTAGTTTGTCCACATATTGGCTAACCCTATGCTTAGGTTTAGCCAAGTTATCATGTCCTGTGGTCACTGTCAACATTCCTTGAAGTAGCCAATAGCGTCATTGAACAGATTCAGAATTTCTTAAAATTAAATTAAGATCTGGGTATTTATGTCACACACACACACACACACGGTAGTCATTTGCAAATACCTGACCAACTGCAACCCTAGTCTGTTGCTCATCTGAACTCTGGAGGTTTCTTTACTGTGTTGCAGGTTTAAATAAAGCATAATAACATTGAGAGATAGGGTAGTAAGTAAGAGCTCAGTATGATTAGTATAGCAAAGTACATTATTCCCATTGCACTCATTGACAAATATTGTGATGATAATTTCTCTTTCGTGGAGCAACAAAAACTCCTGTTAGAAGAGGTAAATGTTACTTATTACTCATTAAAATTTTCAGAATAAATACTTTGTCTTTATACTTGCATCACATTTGACTGAAACTAAGATTGTTAAATGTAGTAATGGCATTAACGAGAGTTCTGATTTTAAATTAGCATCTGGACTATCTGTGGTGCAGTCTAATCCTATGTTCATTATTTACTATGTGTGAAACACACATTTTGGAATACAGAATTATTATTTACACAGTGTGGTAATTTTACTCTATGTCTACATACTGTGCAACTTTTACTTGACATATAATGCCTTATCTTATAACATTTTTAGTTGAATTTGGTGGCGTGGCCAATTATCCCAACACTTAGGGAGAGTGAGGCAAGAGGATAGTACATTCACTCCAGCCTGGGCAACTTACCAGTTTAGGAAGGCCCTGTGTCAAAATAAAAACTAAGGAATGGGTTGGAAACACAACTCAATGCAAAGAAAGGTCCCAGGTTCAATCCCCAATACCGTAATAATAATAATAGTAATGATAGTATTAACAATACTTAAAATTTAGTGCATCTGAACTCTCAAAATTTTTTGTAAGTCAGATTCTCATCAGCCTGAAAAGAGAGAGAAAAAAGTAACTATTACTTTAAGGAAAAATTGACATATCTTCATCCATAGTGGATCGAGATATATATAGCTTTGGATAGAGATGAGGGATAGAGACATAGAGAGATAGGCAATAGGAGAGAGACAGACAGAGACAGAGAAACAGATCTTGCCCTAATAAAGCTTTGAGTTTTTTTCTAGCTTTGGTCTTCTGTGGGGTAAACTAAAACAGATGACTTTACCCACTTACCAATTGTAGCCCTCATTGTAACTAAGCTAGTAAATAGTCATTGATGGTTTTGACAGCTGGCTTTTTTAACAAAAATAATTTCTTCCTTTTCTTTTTCTAGGTATAAAAGCAGTACCAAAAGACATTTCTTCAAATTTGCATCAAGATGGAAACCTTTTGCCTCAGGGCATCCTTTTGTCTGGCACTGGCAGGATGTGTAATCAGCGATAACCCTGAGAGACACAGTACAAATCTAAGCAATCTTGTGGACGACTTTACCACCTTCCGTGGGACAGAACTCAACTTCCTGGTTACCACTCATCGACCCACTAACTTGGTCCTCCCCAGCAATGGCTCCATGCACAACTATTGCCCACAGCAGACTAAAATTACTTCGGCTTTCAAATACATTAACACTGTGATATCTTGTACTATTTTCATCGTGGGAATGGTGGGGAATGCAACTCTGCTCAGGATCATTTACCAGAACAAGTGTATGAGGAACGGCCCCAATGCACTGATTGCCAGCCTTGCCCTTGGAGACCTTATCTATGTGGTCATTGATCTCCCTATCAATGTATTTAAGGTAAGAATACATTGTAGTCACAAATGTATTTGCAGGTTTGAACATATTCTCTTATTTCCTTAGTAAGAGAGTCATTGCAAACTTTCTTGACCTTTGGAATTCTACTCTGTTTTTACTGTGGGTTATTTCTGCTCTCTTAAAACTCAATGGCATGTTAAGATTTTATTATTTGTTATATGTTACACTTGTTTTCTAACTTGTTGTTAACAAAATCTGAGGGATGAGTCTTCAAAATCATGACGTTTCCTGACCGGGATTCTCATGACAGCACTGACCTTATTATGGGTTAGATGGACAGTGTGAGATCCAGTTTCTGGAGTGTGACCTACTGAGTCCCCAGAGCATTTAAATATACCTTCAATTTCACTTAGATATTTTAATGTGATGTTGTTCAGAATACCGATATCCACAGTCCAGCTTGAAACAAAAAGTACCTATTTTATTTTGACTGTCTGGATTAATGACTGAAACCAAAGGCTATGCTGGCTTTTCTCAGTTATTTTCCGGGTCACTTGGAGAGCGTGGCGTCCACATGACAGCAAGCCAGCATTCACTTTGTTGAGGAGTGCTTCTCAGTGACACCATTCAAAACACCCCACTTACTGCTGTCTGCTTTACTTTTTTCAGTTTGGATTTAGTGAGTACCTACTGTGTGCCCAGCCCTGCGCTAGGCAATAGGGTTCGAAGAGAAGCAAGAAAAATGTTAGTGCCTCAGTGCGAGAAGGAAACAATGATCAAATCATTACTAGGATTGCCCTGTGTTAGAGAGAATTTAGTACCAAACAAACCAAAGCCAAAAGGAATTAGATATTCCATGTTTGGTCCAGTTATTCAGGGAGAGGATTTCTGCAAGAATTCAAAATTACTAGAATTCAAATGAAATAGCAGGATGAATGCCACATTTTATGAAATATCTTCACTGCAAAGCCAAGGAAATCGCCTTCTTTTGACTTTGAATTTTTCACTATCTTTCTATCTACAGAAATAAACAATTCTGGGTGGTAATAGTCTAAAATACTACTTTAAATGACAAGTTATGTCAACTGAGTGCTAAGTAGAAATGGAATCTCTTTGTTTCTAGTAAATACATGTGAACTAGACTGAAATATTACCCTTCTATTAAAATCAGTGGTCTAACTATAAAGATGAAAATGACTAAATTTTTGAGCATTATTAATGCTCAAAATTATGAAACTCATTCAAAATTATACCATGTACTGCAAAACTGGAGATCGGATGATGAAAAAAAAATGTACATACCATCCCTTGGCACACAGAGCATGAATGCATGTTTCCCATTTGAATAGGATTTTGGAACGAAATTGTGAGGCAAAACTGAAATAAATAATCAATTAAAAATGTTAGCATATGCTGCAGAACTTATTTTTTTTTTTGTTGTTTTAAGAAGTTCTTAATTTTCTGTTTATGAGATGCCATGTGCATTCAACGTGACTTTCTCATGCTATCTCCCTTGAATGATAGATTAGAAAATGTTGGCATGACTCTTAGGCAGAATTTTACTCTTCAGTGGCAGTGTGGTGTATTAAACATTGATTATTCATACTATGCACTAATTATCTAATCCATCTTTGTTCAAGAGAATAATGAGCTATCTCTGAATGAGATAGCTGAATCTCCTCTCTTCTGTTACTCACTCTGAAGCATGCTACATAGTTTGGACAGTGTGCAAGCAGTTTCTCAGCATCTTAGCGATATTGGCAACTACAGGGAGGGAGACGTACTGTCAATCACCAGGCTAGACTAAACTTCATTTCTACCCTGAAGTAACATGTTAAATCAGATTATCTGGAATATTTCCAAATTTTGTGAAAAGCCAAACAAAACTATTTTACATTATATAACTGTGAATGAAAACTGCCACATCTTTATTTAACCATACTGTTCTTCCCTTCTGGAAACTCAATATTTTATAAACCTTATTGTAGTTCTAAATAATGTGGACAGTTAAACTATGGGGTATTTGCATCACAGGAGTGTATGTGTATAGTTCCTGTTTTTCTAAAACTTGTAATATGACTCACTTAGCTAACATTAATTCTAAAAGTAAATCATCTAGGCTAAAAAAATATGCTTTTATCATGTCTTGTGGTATTTTTCCAAAGGAAAAGAGAAAAGCATCTCAGTGAGCTGAACAGATTCACAGTACTTCAGGTTTGTCTCTGTGTTCTTTATTCTCTTCTCTAGGTCAGGAGACCATAATGTGTCACCATTCCTCTGACTTCTGTTTAGGTCAGACAAAAGAAATCTTTGCAGGCAGTGTGAGCTCAGGCCCCGATTTCTCTTCTCCCATAGTTACCCCTGCCATAAGATTCAGATACTTTGAAATCCTTCACATTTTAAGCCAGTGGATGCCTTTGACATACCAAGTTTAGCTCCTCTGTGTTGCCCGGCAAGGTACCAGCTACCCATCCCACTTTCCCATTGTATTTGGGCATCTATGAAGATTTCTACCAAACACTCAGAGAGCATCCTAAAAGGATGAATTCATGAGCCTTCTCCCCCCCCCCGGCTTTCTTATTAGAATATGTTTGCAACACATAGTGAATATGGCACATTCACTGTGGGTACTGATACATATACACATTGCATCTTGATGCTTTTTACTCCCCCTCCCATTTCTCCTATGTCCAAATCCCCTTCCCATCCCCACAGTCTATCTCCATATTTCTTATACTCTGGTCTTTATTTTGCACGAGACTTCTTTATTCACTTCCTTTCTTCTTTTACTTTTAAAAGGATTAAGTTGTACCAGTCACAGTGGAGCACACCTGTAACCCCTGCTACTCTGAAGGCTGATGGGAGATTTTAAAGCTAGCCTGGGCAATTTAGTGAGACTCAGTCTCCAAATAAAAAAGGTTTTTTAAATGTTGGGGATATATCTTAGTGCTCCCTGAGTTCAATCCCTACTACTACCAAAAACAAAACAAAAGTTAAAAATAACATTGAAAGAAGAATGATTGAAAATGTCTGCTACAAAGCAAAGATATGTTTTCAAATCATAAAGTTGTGTTGACGATCACGTCAGTTTCATACCCAATCCTAGGGTGTCTCCAGACAGGGAACATTGCACTGAATTATACCAGCAACTCTAGCTTAGGGCAAGCTAGAGTTACAGTGTTAACTATATTAATGCGCAAGAAAAGGGAATGAGCCTAATAAAGTGTTCTTTCTATTAACACTGTGTTCCCTTCCTTCTACTTTGAAAGGATTTTGCTGCAGTTATTTCCTAGATCAATGGGATAGGAAACACACTGGCATTAGACTAGCATGTGTCAGACAGCTGGGCCAGTTCTGATCGGCCATAGCCAGCACAGCTGGGACCCCTGGCTCCAGATGGTAGATGAGCATAGAAAGGGGCCACTCTGCACGTGAATTCCCAGAGGTTTCTTAATTGGTCTCATGTCTTGAGTTTCTTCCCCAAACCTCTGCTGAACAGTGCTCTACTTATGTAGTTCCACAGCTTCCTCAGAAGCACCCAGGACGCATTTCTGCTTCCACTGCCCCCCAGGCTGTGGCACACTTACCTGCTCTCCCGGTACCCAAGCACGTGCTCAACTCTTGTCAGATTTCCATCCTTCTCTCTTCAGAACATTCTTGGTCCTAAACAGCACTGTCAGGAAGAAAGTAGTCACCAGACTGATGCTGGTAACACATTTACATTTAAATGTGAAAATTAGGTAGGTCCACAGTTATATATGTGGCACCAAGAACAGAAGCCGCTAGGTGTGGTGGTGTAAAGCGGGAATCCCAGCTACTCAGGATGCTAAAGCGGGAGGAGCAGAAGTCCAAGACCAGCCTAGGCAACTCAGTGAGACTCTCTCAAAATAAAAAGGGCTGGGACTATAGCTCAGTGACAGACAGCTTACCTAAAATGTGTGAGCTCTCAATCCCTGATACCAAAAAATACGAAGATTAAAAAAAAATAGAGAATTTCCTCTCACTCTTGCTTATACACACTCACACCTGCAACCTAAAAGAAAATCAGACAATCTAGGAAAATAAAATAGGAAGCATAAAAAACAAAGAGTAGCCAACGAATTCCCAGTTGCCTTTTTGGCTTTCAAATATATAAAGGCCTTGCAAAGGGTAATACTGAAAAAAAAAAAAGCCATTCCTAAGTTGATCAAGGATAACTTAATTTTTACTTATTCAAAAATAGCGCTAAATACAAGAGAGAGGAAGGAAAAACTAACTAGTAGATCCATTCGTATAGTCAAGATTATACCTAAGTTGGTGATGAATTCAATGTGTTTGGAAATTGCATTGTCTAATACCCTGAATTCTCAAGAAATACTAAAGTTGGCCAGGTAATTTAATTTTTATTTAAGATATTTACACCTTTTTAGAATGGAGAAGCAATTAAAATATTGTCGTTGTATTTTGGGACCAAAAAAATCTCCAATAAATAAATGGCAATATTGATTAGAAATATAAATTTTAGTAATTTATTCTTCAATGTCATTGAATGTTGAGGACTTACATATTGCAATAGAACAGCTACCCTATAACTGAGGTTTGTGTGCTGACCTAGATTTAAAATCATATAATTTTGGGATAAGAGTATATATGTATCTATTCAGAGACTTTCCCACAAACCACTGAACCTCACCTCTTAGCAAAAACAAGAATGAAAGAAAATACATGTACGCAAGAAGTAGGGTAAAAAAGGTTGCAAATGTTGGACATGGGAGAAAGCAAGAAATTGAAAGCCAGTGGCATAGCATAGGAAGTTTAGATTATGTAGCAAAGAGTTGAAACCAGGGTTTGTAGAGATAATCATGCAGATGAATAATATTTACACTGAATGTACAGTGTAAAGCGTATCAATGATGATGACAGTTATTCATGCAGTAAGTCTGTTGATTTCTAATTCTGTCCCACTCCAAGCAACCACCTCTTATTAAAAACAACAATGAAAAATAAACAGACACAATTTCCGTATGAAATTACTAAGGATGTTTTGCAATAAAGTCAAGACT